AACAGGAAACTGTACATGAACTTAATTGGTTGAAGTGTTGCCTAAGCTATCTTCATGATGAGTTGATTATCTCCTAAACAGTTTCAATTAAGTCTTTGGAAGAGACAGCATACTAACTGAGCACCCATTATGTGCTAAAAATCCAACAGATATACCACCTGGATTCACCAGGCTTCCAGTCCAAAGAAAAGAAAGGAAGGAGAAAGGAAGGAAAGAGAAGAACAAGGAATGCTGACATCGTGTCTATAAACATTGCCTCTCCCTAGAGCCATGCTTAAGTATGAACTTGAATGTCAGACAAAACGGGGTTTGACTCCTACTTACCACCATGTATCCTTGAATGCCTTTGGCTACAGATTTCCTTTGAATAAAAACTACCCTGCAACATTGCTTAGGGTGAAATAAAATGCTGTGTGTAAAACTCTACTTAGAAGGGTATTGGCTGCAATTCTGGAATCTGTGGTCACATGAGCATGTGTCTTTGTGTGCAGAAGTGTCTGACATGATCTCAAGTTATGTGGCACTGTGCCCACAGTGCCCCAGGCTTTTCTGACTGATTCATTATCTCAGTTACACTTGGGAGATCTAAGTAGGTGGTATGTGTGTGCAAATTTATTATGACAGTTTTGTGTCATGACAGTTAATTTGGTATCCTTTTCCATCAAAAGAAAGCAACATCTTGTTGCCCATTTGTAATGAAGATTGTTTTCATTTACCATTCTCTTTATTTGGCAGAAGTAAAAAAGTAAAGGATTGAAAGGAGTGTAACTGGAATTCAAAGATGCTGAAGGACACTGCTTAGTATCACCGTATCAAAAGTGGTGGTGAGGGACCACTGAGCTTGCTCTGTCTGTGAGCCCTCACTGTTACCCAGCGTTAAGTGAGTCACTCCAATAAACACTTCCCTAACATCCCTGGGAGTTTCAGGAGACTCCCAGTGCTCACAGGAGCACACTCCACAATCCTGCTGCTGGAAATGTCTGTGGTCTGGTCATCTTCCTGGCCATATACTTACAAGTAGTGTTAGACAACAGGCCATCTCTTATTTATACAAAAAAAAAATTCAACCCAAATCATTCTGGTCTTAAATGGTAAATTGTTGAAATATTCTAGGTAAAAACTTCTTCAAAGGGAACTGGGTAATCTACCTCCAGAATCAAGGTAGATTACCCACTTCCTTCCTTCCTTCCTTCCTTCCTTCCTTCCTTCCTTCCTTCCTTCCTTCCTTCCTTCCTTCCTTCCTTCCTTCCTTCTTTTCTTTCTTTCTTTCTTTCTTTCTTTCTTTCTTTCTTTCTTTTCTTTCTTTCTTTCTTTCTTTCTTTCTTTCTTTCTTTCCTTTCTTCTTTCTCCTTCCTTCCTTCCTCCTTTCTTCTTCTTCTTCTTCTTCTTCTTCTTCTTCTTCTTCTTCTTCTTCTTCTTCTTCTTCTTCCTCTCTCTCTCTCTGTCTCTCTCTGTCTCTGTCTCTCTCTCTCTCTCTCTTACTCCTCTGGGACTGATTAGAACTCTCATTTGCCATCTGGCTCATTTGTGTAAATCCTTAAACAACTATGTTTAGGAATTAGACCAAGTCCATCTTTCTATGTGTGTCTTCCACAGCATATGGCTATGAAAGGTTAGCCCTATGTTTTGGCACTGGAAGGATACTGGATCCAGACACCATCAACTTAAACAGGACTCTAGTGTCCCAGTGTGGCTTTATGTAAGCATAAAATTCCCTTTAATTCCTAGTCAATTTTAAATAGAGTTTGCATATGCATGTGCTATTGGACTTACTTTCTTGGGGGATTTTAGTCGTAACAAACATCTTGAAGGAGTGTGAACTTGGAGAATGGTGACAAATGCTTCATCATTCAAGACCCATTGCAGCAGCCAGTGAAGAGTCATGAGAGGAGCAGCAGCTTCACATCCAGGCAGCATATGGTCTTTAGCGACAACAGATACACTAATGCGGTCTATGTTTTATAAATTTCTAATTTCAAACTCTTCCAAGCAGCTCAAATTAATTTCCAGCATGTGTTGTTCCTTAGAACACATTTTGGAAAATAAGTTTTTGCACTTGAAGTTTTAACTGATGTATTCAACCAAATGTCAGCTGTGAAAAGAAATCCATTTCACTCACATTGTGGGAAATGTTGTTCTCTCTCAAGTATGTTTATTTTGTTCAAAAGTTCACCCATTCTGCATTCTACACAATTCCATCCATGACCTGGTCCTTGCTTTCTATTACCTTCCCCATGTTCAACTTCCCAATGAAAACAGTTAAGCTAAGGTGCGAAACACCTGCATACCATTCATTTACACTTGACTTCCACTCTCTCGAGTCTGTCCCCGTGCTTGTCAATAACAACAGCACAGAGATTTCTTTCAATCAAAGATATTATACTGTCTTGTACAATCACATCTTTCCATCATTTTCACATTCACTAGCTCATTTAATTTTCTCTCAAGCTATGGATTTACCTGGCCAATAATATTGTATTCATTTTCATAAATGTGGCAAAAGAAATTAAATAATTTTACAAAATAGCAGTTTTTTTAAGGATCAGTTCTCATACTACCTAATTCTTTTTTTTTTCATGTTTCCATAGCAAGTACTTTATTGACGGAGCTTTCTCCCCATTAAGGAATATACACTAATTTTTGAGTATTATAAATTAAATCATTATCTTATCATCAACATTATAAGTAATTTCCACAGACAATTTTTTATATTAGTATATCTTTATGATGAGATCAGTGACATTTATGATAGACAGTTAGCAAGTTTAAACGATTGAGGCCCTTAAATAATCTTGAATTTTAAAACTTTTGTCCAGTCATCAAAAATGTTTCTCTTAGAGACAAAGCCTGAACTGGTGTAAGAACTATTAGTACTTGGGGGTTTCTACACCTTGCAGTGGCTTCTGAGGAAAGTGTAGCCCAAGTGGGGAAGCAAAGTTTACTTCAAACCCATAGGTGTATAGGAAGCTACATATCTCGAAGCAGGTCCAGAAGTTGCTGAGGAACCAGGGTGGGAAACAGATCTGACCTTGGTTAAGGCTCACAGGTATATGAAAAGATCCATCAATCACAGGGAAAGATAGAAACCCAGGTAAAAGGTCCTAGTTGGCACAAAATAAACCCTCAGAGGAAGACTGTCGGCAGAGACTCCCGCCTTGCATGCCAGGCCGACAGAGGGAAGGAACACACACACCTTACCAGAACTTAGTCCTTCACTGAACGGTGCAAGTACCACCACTAAAAGGTCAAATGTGATTCAGATTTTTACAGTTAAAAAATACAAAAGAAAGACAGAAAACTTCAGCCAATGAACTAACTCCAAGACTTCACAAACAACATAAAAATCAAAGACAGCATGGTTCCTCCACAAATCAGTGACTCATCATAGTAACACTGTGGTAGTTTGACATAAAATGGCCCCCAAGGGGAGTGGCACGCTTAGGAGGAAGGAGGAAGCGTGTCACTGTGATGGCTGGCTTTAAGGTCTCTTTTTCTCAAGTTTTCCTCAGTGTGACAGTTGGTCAATTTGCCTGCAAGATGTAGCACTCTCAACCCCAGCACCACATCTGCCTCATACCACCATGCTCCCCTTCATAATCATAATGCACTGAACCTCTGAAACTATAAGCCACTCTCAATTAAAAGTTTTCTTTATAAGAGTTGCTGTGGTCATGGTGTCTCTTCACAGCAAGAGTAAACCCTTAGTAAAAACTAAGACAGACACATAATGAAAAATTGCAGAGAAGAACTACCAAAGAATTCAAAGGAATGGTTATAATTATGCTCAAACAATTCAAAGACATGAATAAACCACAAAGAACAAAAACAAAGAGATGAATGAAATAGAAGTCCTTCTAAGACATGAAAATAAAGGTAGAAATGCTGAAGAACATCCAGTCTGAAATGATATTGGAAATGAAAGGTCTAATAATCCAAATAAAATCCTCTATGGGAAGGCTCATCAATCTAATGGATCATGCTAAATCAGGAAGTCAAGAACAGAAGACAGATAGAGGAATTAGATCATGCATTGAGGACCAGTGATAGATTTGAAATGAGATATGAACAAACAGTTTAGGAGCTCTAAGATACCATGAAAGTCTCTAACTTTCAGATTGTAGGTACAGGAAGAAGGAGAAAACCATAGTGAAGGCATAGAGAATATTTCCAAGGAAAATTTCCAAACCTAGAGGTAGAGATATTCATCCAAGTACAATAAACCCAGCAGAACTCCAAATACACAGAACCAGAAAAAAAACCCTCTATGGCATATCATAATTAAAATATTAAAAACAAAGAATAAAGAGTATTAAAAGTGTCAAGAGAACAAAGTCAAGTCACTCATAAAGATAGGCCCAGCAAAATAAGACCTGATTGCTTAATAGAAACTCATGAAGTGAGAAGGGCTTGGAAAGATGTCTCTATCCTATGTTCTGAAAGACAGCAATAGATCATCCAGTTCTAATATCTGTTTTCCATGTTATACTCATGGAAATGAGCTGAGTTTTAATTTTGCATAGATATTAGTTGTAATTTCATTTCATTTTTTCACTAGCTTTGTGACTTTAGGTAAACTTCAAACTTCCATTGGGTTTCAGTTTCATTATTAGCTGTATGGAAATAACACATCGGAAACAAAACAAAAGAAATGTTCCTATGTACCTTGAGTTTTTAATGCATAGTTCTGAAGATTCTACTGAGCGCATAGCAGGTGTTACACAAATGTAATTTGTTTCTCATTTCCAGTCAGAGAATATAATGGTTCACTGCAAATGTGACAATCACAAAATGAGAAGATTGATTGAAAAAAATTACAAAGAAAGTCAAAAATTAACAACTAATAATTAACTAATTATTAATAATTAATCACTAATAATTGACAATTAACTAATAATTAACAATTATTAAGCAGCCATAGCTGCTTGTTCTAAAGTATATTATTTGTAAATCTATATGTTACTATCTCCATTTCATACATTAAGAAAATAAATTACAGGACCTAAAGAGATGGCTCAGTACTTAAGAACACTTGTGACTCTTGCAAAGGACCTGAGTTGAATTCCCAATGCCAGCGTGGCAGCTCACAACCATCTCAAATTCCACTACTAGGTGATCAAGGAACTCCTCCTGACCTCTGAGGACATCAGGAACATATGTGGTATACACACATGCAATCTAAAAAAAAACTGTTTCAGAAGAGCTAAAGTACAAACGGATTAAGTAACTTTCCAATATCATGCACAAGTTACTGCTTGGCTCAGACAAGCTAATGCAGTTTTTGATTCCTCCAGCTAATTATATGTGGGTTCCAACACCTGGCATAGCCAGCAGGCATTTGTTTTTTGGGTTTTTTTTTTAGCAATGAATTGTTTCTTATTCAAGCTACAGGTTGGCTTTGTTGATTTTGTTTTTGGCAATTGTACCCGAACATTGATATTTTTGGTGTGACAATATGGAGCATGACACCCCAGTTCTGATAGAAATGTGCCGTGTATAAAGGCAGAAGAAGAAAAGCTAGCATTTTGGATAAATTCATGTTACCAGGTAACTAAGAGGCATTTTCTTCTCGAGAAAGGTATGAAAGTGGAAATGGAAATCATTGACATTCACGGAGGACTTTGAAAGACCTTTACACTGGAGATTCTCAGCTGTTCCTGCCATCAGCTCACTCAGACTCAGAGAATAGAACATTTTCCTCTATGATTTTACACTAATCAAGGCCACAGCATCCCATCTCAGACTCCTCAGACACCTCAGAATCTACCAATAGCTAACGTTCCCATTCTGTCTTTGTAATTGCAGCAGCAGTTCAATTCTTTATATATTTACTGATGAATATGTTGCCAAGGAACACTTCAGCTACAGCCCCCGTATCAGTCCTTACACTCTTCCCCTGAAGGAGTTGCATCTGCCTGCAGGGACAGTGTGGTACTGGATCTTGGAGTTAAAAAATATGGTAAGAGTAGGACAAGAGTAGTGGTTAAATGGTGGTAACCTACGTGGACATTTGGGGGAAAGTACAGGAACATGTAATTACACAATTCAAGGTGAGGGTTCATGAAACACGGCGTACAAACAGCAGAAAGGTAATCAGAAAAAATCAGTAAAGCCCATTAGAATATCCCGAACCTGAGTCTGAACAGTGTTGGTAACACTACGCCTGTTGAAACTGAATAAATGTAGACAGTTTTTGAGGAGTGACTTAGCTAAATGGAGACGTGTCCAAATGTCCTTTCTCTTAATTTTTCACAGAACAGCTGGCTTCTGGACTACAGAGTTTCACTCCGTGCTTATGCACGCGTTACCAGCCTGAGAGCGTTATCTGCCTGCTGTCAGCCAACAGGGCAGACAGACACAGTTTACTTGACAACTGACGCATGAAGGCAGGCTGCCCATTCTCAGTGCTTGGGAAGGCAGTCGGTTCTGTTGCTTCATGTGTTACTTCTCAACCTCCACTTCCCATCAGCATCTTCCAGAGAGCCTTTAAAATCCCCCCATTCCCCTGCCACACTCTACACTACAGCAAAATTTGGAGGTAGAACCGGGCATCTATGGCTTATGTGATCTAAAATCTAGTTAAACTTGGAAGATACTGTCTCTAACACTGTCTTACAAATGTGGCTAGTCCTCACTGGACTAGGAGAGCTGTATGGAACTTCAAGAGTATTCTCTCCTTTGGAACGCTCTTAGAATTTGACAAATGCGATAGAAATGTGCACAAGAGGAAAACTGTGAACAAAACAGTCCCAAAGCTGCAGTTGTCTACATGCCTGCCCACAGTCTATATCCCCAATTTAAGTAGTGATGCTAACGCAAACCTTCTCTTATCAGGAAGAAAGCAGTGACCATACCAGGATATGGAAACATCAGTTCTGTCCAGATGCCAAGCCTTTTCTAAGGTGAACAAAGAGTGAACCAATATCACATACCAAATGCAGAATATATAAAAATTATAACCAAATACAGAAACAAATAACTTGATTTTAAACATGTAAATATATAAAGATAAACAATTGACTATTAAATACATGAAGAGCAGTTCAGCATCATTTTCCAGGAAAGAATGCAAATCAAAACCACATGTGTAGCTGGAGTTTTCCTGGTCCTGCCTGGCCCACGGTCAGGACAAATCTCTCTCACCCGCCAGTCCTGCAGCTGCTCAGACCCAACTAAGTAAACACACAGAGACTTATATTGCTTATAAACTGTATGGCCATGGCAGGCTTCTTACTAACTGTTCTTTTTCTTAAATCAACCTATTTCTATTAATCTATAAGTTACCACGTGGCTCGTGGCTTACCGGTATCTTAACATCTTTTCATGGCGGTGGCTGGCAGCTCTCTCTGCCTCAGCCTTCCACTTCCCAGAATTCTCCTCTCTCCTTGTCCCGCCTATACTTCCTGCCTGGCCACTGGCCAATCAGTGTTTTATTTATTAACCAATCAGAGCAACACATTTAACATACAGAACATCCCACAGCACACATGAATGGCAATAACAATACTACTTTTCAAAAGGACAGTGAAAGTGTTGTCGAGGATATGAAGAAACTGGAATGTTTGTACAATGCACATGAGAATATGGTTGTTTCAGCCCTTTAAAATGACGCACAATTGCAACATACAATTTAGCAGCTGAAGGGTTATGAAAAGGTGGATGGAAGACAGAATCCAGTGAGAGAAAACACATGTGAGATACTTTTCCTATTTATCACAAGGAAAGACCAATAAATAATGCACTTCAAGTATTAACAAATGAATACTCTGAGGTTTAATAAAATTATTTAAGTGTATGAAACACGTGGTCTGAAATATGCACATATCTCATATTGGTACTGTAAACCTAGCCTACTGCCCCTAGCTGGTGAGGACATGGACCAAGAGAACTTTCTGCTGCTGCTTTACTAAACCAGTATAATATCCATATTATTAAGATGAGTTGAGTTTGACACAACATACTGCTGTGACCTTTCTAAGCTGCGTAATTCCTAATAGCATTCTAAATGCTTACCCTCATATCCACAGGTAAGTGTAGCTTTACAATTCAAAAAAAGATGCCTTTAGCAGCAGAAAGAACTCTACAACCAGTCAAGTTGCAGAGAAAACTGACTGTGGGGAACCCAGCCCCAATTTATACATCTAAAACCCCACCCTAACACCTAAGTCTCAGGGAATATCCTGGAAGAGAGGGTAGAAAAATCCTAAGAATCAGAGGAATGGGATTTCTGCTATGAGATAGTGTCTTCTATACGTGATAGGGAAGCTCCACCCAGGAAATCTCAACCACATGATTGCATAGACAGGACCTAAAAATGACAACACCAGATGACATGCCAGCATACATTAGGGAAATCTCATAAGGCTTCACAAATAGAAGATGAGCTATACACGTAATGGCTGATACAAGAAGGAGAATCAGTCTTCTCCAGGGACCAGCCCCTAATAGACTAGCCAATCCAAAGACATCAGCCCTAGCCACTAAATGGTCTCAGCTGGGTGTGTTTATAAACTTATTTACATACACATAAACGTGTATGTGAGAATTATGCTTACAGAATATGAAGCTGTGGATTTGAGAAGGAGTGGGAAGGACATGGTGGGGATTGACTGTAGGGAAGAGGTGAGGGAGAATAGTATAAACACAGTATTCATATATAAAATTATCAATCAATAAATAAAAAATCATGTATCTTATGTTACAAAAGAAAATATTTAAAATATGTGACTAAACAATGGAAAAATACTATAAAATCTTACGAAAACATTGAAAATAATACCAAGTCAGACACAAAGGTAAGACTCAGGAAGTATACAAAGACAACAAGACATAGAGTATTTAATAATAATATAAATGGTTGAACAGCCTCTTCTTCATAGAAAGAAACCCACCTACTTGTGGTGGTACATATCAGTAAGTCAATCTAAAAAGCTGAGGCAGGGGGATTCCAAAAAAGAGGCCCACATTAAACAACAACAATGTCAAAGATAATCAATGACAATGACTGAGAATAAGGATGAGAAATTATATTCAAGAAATATTCTTGGGCCTGGGAAGACTGTCACTTTGTAAAGTATTCTCAACATAAATGTGAAAACCTGAGTTCAGAGCTCTAAAAACCACAGAAGGCCAGACACCACAGCACATGTCTAAGATCCCGGGACTCTTGGGGAGATGGGATGCAGAGGCAGGAGAATCCCTGGAAGCTGGTGGTCCAGCTGTCCTGGTGTATTCAGGCAAGAACAACAAGAGGGACTATCTCAAACAAGATGGAAAGCGAGGAGTAAGAGCCGTACTGTGCTCTGACCTCCACAAGTCAACCCACAGTCCTATACACAAACATGCACACATCCACACTCCAAACAAAATAAAGAATAATAATGGAAAAGAGAGGAGGCATCCATGTCAGATACCAGCATTTATATGCTACTCATTTACTCAGAGAAATCTTACTTTGTGAAGCATAGCAATATTCTCAGCCTCGTTCAAATGCCGGCCATATGAGCAACTGCTTTCCAATAGAATGTGAAGAGAAGCTGTCTGAGGAGGCATTCAGGAGAGCTGTTCAGAAGGAGCTCAGCATTCTTCCTTCTGCTGGTGGCTGGGATGGAAGTGTGATTCCGGTGGGTTGCCTTCCTACTGCCATATGCTGACTTTGGAATGAGAATAATTCTCATAGGATGCCAGAGCAAGAAGATAGAAGGAGCCTGGACCACTGATGACATCATAGAACTGCTTTACCCCTCCCCCCACCTGCTGTGCCTTGGCTCTGAGGTGAGGGTGGTGGTAGATGGAGGAAAAGTGACCTGCTTATGCCACCAATTCTCAGTCCTCTGCTGTTGGTGACCAAAAGCAATTCTTTACCAATATCAGATCATAATAGAAAAAATGTCAAACTCAAGGTGAAAATAATACATTAACTATGACAGAGAATGGCTTGTAAATTGACATGATTCCACATAAATATGTGTATCTGTGATGGTAATCCAAATTAAAAAGATGAATAGATGCATAAAATACAAGGGGAAACAGCATTCCAATGATAATGGGAACAGACCTCTTTTAGTCTTTGCACAAAGTGTCATAGGCAGGAATGAAGAATGGAGTGCAGGGTGGGTAATTGGGGTGGATCAAAATACATTGTGTGCGTGTATGAGATTCTTAAAGAACCGATACAAATATGCATTAGAAAAGAATGCAGGACAATCAATAGGATACACCAGCAGCATGCTGGAGGAAGCCTTTCTGTACCTATATTGTGTGTGTAGAATTAGGCAATCATTACCTTTTAGATAGAATTCTCAGCGAGTTTCCCTAAAAAAGTAAATTACACGGAAAGTTTTGAATGTGCGAGAGAGACAGCTCGGCAGTCAAGAGCACTTGCTGCTGTTCCAGAGAGCCAGAGTTCGGTGTCCAGCATCCACATCAGGTAGCCCCAGCCACCTCAGCTACAGCTTTATTGGAACCAGCGTACTCTTCTGGTCCCCTTAGGCACCTGCACAAATGTGTGTGCAACACACACACACACACACACACACACACACACACACACACACACACACAAATAAAATGTAAGCATAAAAATAAGAAATGAAAATGATAAAATTGAAAATATTTTAAATATGTCATCAAGTATAATTTAAATATAAGTCAAAATATGAAAATGAATTCAGTGGAACAAAGCTATAAATATTTGAAGGCACTCACAAGTAATTCTTTGGTCTAAAATGAAATGAAACCCATTATATATGCTACAAGGAGTAGTAGAAGTAAGAATATTATATATCAGAAGCCCTAGAAAACAGTTAAAAACATAGTAAGAGAAAAACGCATTGCCTTAAATGCTTCAATTAATCACAAACATGAGAAATTGAAAATACTCGCGTGTCCCAGGACTCAGACTGCGAAGACAGCAGACGCACAAGCACAGAAGAGGAAATGCTCCAGGGAAAGCAGCAGCCACAATTCTATCTCGAGAAAACACTTCGAGAAAATAGTCATGTAAATGCCACTGTTTGATTTCTGAAAAACATGAAACAATTCAAACTTCAATTATTACAGGGATGATTGAATACATCAGAATACCTCACTTAGTAGCATAATGGCCACACTAAAAATAGCCATCAAATTTTACATACAAACCTATACTTGCTGAAATTAAAAAGCAGAATACAAAGTGGAACATATGGATGATTTTATGTGAGCATCAAAGAACTTATTATCAATTAATATAGCTTGTGCCTCAACATTTTCAGGTATTTCTTTCAAGTAGGCACGTCTTAGTGTTATAAACAGAAGAATACATACGAGAATGGTCTGTACTGTCAAGATGGAGCATCAGATAAAGGGCCTAGCTGCCAAGTCTGATTCAGTCCCTAAGAACAACAAGATGGAATAAAGGAACTGACTTCTGCAGGTAGTCTTCTGACCTCCTCCTTGGCATACGTGAATACAGACACAAAGACACACACACACACACACACACACACACACACACACACACACACACACTAAAATAAACATAATAAAAATTTGAAAGGATTGTCTACTGAACTGTATTTCCCCAGTGTTCTCTCAAGAACGTTGTGTTCCATGTACTCAAAGTAAGGCTCCCAGTCACTGTAGCTGTGCACCCTCTCACATACTTAGCACAAGCAATTACCAGATGCAATATCACATATGTCTCCCCCTTAGGATCTGAAGAATTTTTCTTTATATTCAAAGCAATTTTCTGTCCAAAGTACTGAGCACAGGTTTTTATTTCACACTAACTTAAAACCTCCACAACCACATGGCCACATCAGAATATCAGAAGAAAAAAGCAAAAAAAAAAAAAGGTTAAGCAGTGTGGAGAGTTGAATGTTTCTAATTCCATCTCTGAAGTTGAAAAGCTCTCATCTCTCAAGAGCCCTCTGCACCTTTAAAATAGGAGACTTGCATCAATGATAAGGAGATATTCTGAAAATCGAATGTGTCACCTGTCCGGCATCCAGTACATTGGTTACATGGTACCCCCCGCATTTGCTTTTTCCTATCTGTCCTGACTGTAACTGAAACTCCTCAGCCAGTCGACTTTTACACAGCTTAGAGAGAGGCTCTTAGGATACTTGCCCAAGCACAGCAGTAGCAATCCATCCTACTTAAATAATAGGTGCAGAGTCATGGCTTCTTCAAACTTTAATTTTCAGCTGTTTCTTTAAGGGAAAAGCCGTGGGGTAAGGGTGGATTCATGCTTTCACCCTGAGAAACCTAGTATCTGTAGGCAAAGAAGCACAATGGTATTAGAAGATCAAAATCCTGCAGATGGAAGTTAATCCATGCCCGCCATTCTTCCCACATTTGGAAAAACTGGGTTCTTATGCAAAGCAATGAAATGTACAAACCTAATTTTAATCCCCAATCTCTGGTCTCATCTTCTGGTTTCAGAATATTAATTCTTCTCACTACACACTGAGAAGTCAATCATTTGGCAACATCATCACTGTTTGTATTTGGGGGATTGTTCTACTCTCCTGTCCTTTATCACGTCTATTTCCTTCAGCCAAAGCAGAATACTCTCATCAAGGGTCCTCTGGCAGCAGCTGACATGGCACAGTCTTTGTGTATCAGTTGCTTAGGAAATGTTTATGAGTTAGTTTTTAGCCAATAACATGTCTCAGTTCAACACAGCATGTGTTATATTAAAGTATTCTGGGGTAACAAAATAACTTAGGATTTTGGTAAGAAGAGGTTTACTTAAAAGGATTACTGCAAGAGTAAGGAAAGGGACCACTGCAATAAGGAAGAGGGACAATTTCAGAAAGGAAAATGATGCTAAAGCCTGAATATATCCTAAGGGTTAGAAGGGTTAGAAGAGAGAACGCTATGGGAACTTGGTGTGGACAAATGACAGAGTGGGACATCTTGGAGGCTTTTTCTGAGAGCAGGTACATGAGTATTTTATCCTGTAGTTGGGCAATTTATTTTAGTGAACGGCTATTTAAGAGGGGGTGTACAGGGCGGGACAAGTTCTACCGTGGAGATGAGTGACAGAATCTTAACCAAGCTTTGTTAACACAGTATTATATTTCAAGGGATCAGTGGAGTCAAAACAGTTTATAGCCATTTATTAGACACTGAAATGAAGCTCAGAGGCTTTATGTCCAACCTGGTTATGGAGGTTCCTGACCCACTAAAAAGCATCCATGGGTCTGATGTAAATCACATGGGGAATGATGGCTAAGGGCGGGAAAGTGCTGTATTAGCCAGATTTCTCTAAAAGAAAAGAATTGATAGTATGAACACACACACACACACACACACACACACACACACACACACACACACACACACACACTGAATGGTTTATTAGAGTGGCTTACAGAGCTGTGTTCAACAATGCCTGTCTCCAAATGAAAAGGTCAAGACCCAGAGGATTCCAAGAGAGCTGCTGGGCTTCAATCTGTCTAGAATCCCAAAGAAGTAGGTTCTAATACCAAGAAAGGAATGGCTCGGCAACAGAGGAGATGAACTTTCCGTTGAGAGTGAGAGCAAACAGGCCAAAAAAAAAAAAAAGAAATGGAACACTGCATTTTTCCATGTTCTTTAATGTGGACTGCCATCAGGAAATGTGGCCCAGATCTAGGTTATGTCTTCCCACCTCAAATGATCCTGTCAAAAAAATCCCTCGCAGGTGTACCCAACTGCTTGGGTTTTAGTTGATTCTGGGTATTGTTAAAGTGATGACCAACACTGGCCATCAAAGTTACGATTGTTAACTTTCATATTTAGTCTGGATCTCACAGACCTGTAAATACTGAATTTCGTCAAACAAGATGTGGTGGTACATACTTGTAATTCCAGCACTTGGGAAGCAAGATAGGAGGGTCAGGAGTTCAAGATCAGCCTTTGCTTTGTGACATAGTGAGTCCAAGACTAGCCTGAACTAGCAACTCTGTCTCAAAAAAAAAAAAGGCAAAACAAAGCAAAAATAACAGAAATCAGAAAGTTTGACAGAGACAAAGAATATAAAAGGAAGAAATCTCTCCCATTAAGAATTTGAAGACTAAATGACAAGCCTTGAATAAAGCCTTGTGGACATATAAAAACACAGTGAGTGAGAAGGAAAGAAAGGAGACAATTAGATATGACAGTTAAGCATTATCTACTTAAGTCTTCTAGTGCCCTTACGATTCAGAACAGTGCTCTCCTCAGTTAAAAGAAAGGGAAAGCAAAGTTAAGGGACTAAGAAAATGACCCAGAGGCTCCTGAGCAGGAAGTAGCAGAGCCAACTCTGCACCTGGACAATGGACAGCTCAGGTCACAGGTGACATTATGAGAAATGCCAATGTCACAACTAAGAAGTGTTTTCAGGGCTCAGTCAAGAATTTGAAGTCCTTAAACTTCTGTCTCATTGATATAGCACCAAATGAGAAACTTTTGGGCTTTTAGCCTCCAATAGAGCAGAGTAGCCTTCCTTACAGAGATGGACCAAAATAATGACCAATAAAATACAAACAAGCTTAAAATTTTTCCCTATAATTTTATCCCAAGATGCATGAGGTCTTTCCCTTTAGCAGGACAGAGGAACAATGTATTTTTCAAGGCCCTAAGTACCATAGACAGGAACCCTCTACCTTCTGACCTACTCAGGAGTAGCACCAGGCTAATTGTATGTTAGCTCTGATAATGTTGAGGAGACTTGTAGGAGTTAAGGCT